AGACCGAGCTGCAAATGCCAGGGCCAGAATTCTGCGCAGGTTGACGGTGCGAAATGTCGGATGGGGGTTCTCGCTCGAACGAGAGCCGTCTGGGGCTCCGACATCTCGCACCCACACCTCTAGCGCCTCCACCGCCTTGCTCTTCCCCGGCTCTTTTCATAGGTTTGAGGTTGTGCTGTTCTTGCGTCGCACAAGATGGTATCGGAGGTTGGGGGGTGAGATCGCAGTGGAACGGAGACCCCCAACCGGGAAATCGTTTCGTTTTCGTGTCGTGCGTGCGGGCGAGGCGAAGCTGCGTGGGCGCGCGAGAGGAATGAACCTGCCGTTGCTAGGGCCAAGTCAAGACAAATGATTCTCCCCCGCCCGCCCGTCCGGCGATGGCCCCCGTTGTCACGCTATGTCCCGTGGAGTCCCGTGGTGTCCCGTGGTGTCCGCCGTTGCTAGGGCGAAGTCAAGACAAATGATTCTCCCCCGCCCACCCGTCCGTCCGTCCGTCCGGCGGAGCCTTGCGGTGTCTGGCGGTGTCCCATCATGTCCCGTGGTGTCCCGTTGAGTGAGATCGATAGTGAGATCGACATTGAGATCGATACTGAGATCGATGTGTTGCCCGAGGTGTCCCGTGGTGTCCCAAAGAGTGAGATCGATAGTGAGATCGATAGTGAGATCGACAGCTGCCACGAGGTGTCCCGTGGTGTCTCGTTGAGTGAGATCGATAGTGAGATCGATAGTGAGATCGATGTGGTGTCCAAAGGTGTCCCGTGGTGTCCCGTGGTGTCCCAAAACGTGAGATCGATAGTTTGATCGATAGTGTGATCGACAGGTGTCCCGTGGTGCCCCGTGGTGTCCCGTTGAGTGAGATCAATAGCGAGATCGATAGTGAGATTGATGTGGTGTCCCGAGGTGTCCCGTGGGGTCCCGTGGTGTCCTATGGTGTCCCGTTGAGTGAGACCGATAGTGAAATCGATAGCGAGACCGATAGTGAGATCGAGAGGTGTCCCGCGGTGTCCCGTGGTGTCCCGTTGTGGCCCGTGGTGTCCCGTGGTTTCCCGTTGAGTGAGATCGATAGTGAGATCGATAGTGAGATCGACAAGTGTTCCGTGGTGTCCCGTGGAGTGAGATCGATAGTGAGATCGATTGAGTCAGATGTTGGTTCCCCCCCCAACACAACCTCCTTATCACCCGAAGGGTGGTCGTATAGGTATTGAACGTGCCCCGCCTTAGTTCTGGGGCGGTCGAGAGTGGGATGTTTTTTCTCGGTGTGTGGACATCATGGCCAGGCGACGGACCCTGGCCCCCACTTGTCTGCGCACATGCCTTGTGCGAGGTACACCCGATTAGCTGGCCTTGCCCCGCAGATAGCACTCTGTCCGCGCGCCCAAAGGAGAAAGCGAGCGCGTCCACGGAGGCGCCTCGCGCTCGGGCTGCCCCTGGCGCGCTGCCCCTCCCCCCCTCGGCACGCCCCGGCTCGCGGGCGCCTCTCCGGAGGGCTCCCGGCCCCCCCTGTGCCCACAGACCTGTGGCGCCGGGGCCCTCGCCGCACCGTGGGCCCCCTGGAGGTCTCTACGCCCCCTCCGGTCCCCAGGGCCGGCTTTTCGCCCCGAGCAGCCCGTTGCTCGGGTGTTGCCAGAACTACCCCTGGCCCAGGGTACACCCAGGATTCTCGGGGTGGCCCAGGCGGCCTCCAGGGCACCCCATCACGAGGCCCAGAGGACCCCATGGGGCTCCAAGCTGGAGCGAAGAGCTGGGGGCACCTTGGGCCAGGGGCACTTCTGGCAGCACCCGACTTGACGGCCCCGGGGCCGGCGGTTGTCGGGCCTCGTCCGTCGCGCTCCTCCGCGGCGCGCGGGAGGTCCGCGGCTGCCCCCCGCCGCGCCGTCGCCGCCGCCTTCGCGTGCCGCGCCGCGCCGCGCCGCCTCGCCGCCGCCCCGCCGCCCCCTCGGCGGCCGGCCGCCCAGGTACGAGCCCGGGGACAACTGTCTGGGGCACAGCGGCCGCCGCGGCCCGCGCCGCCCTCTTCGGCGTGGCGGGATCGAGGAGGAGGGCATGGAGGCGGAGGAGGATCGAGGAGCATCGAGGAGGATGGAGGAGGATCGAGGAGGATCGAGCAGGAGGAGGTGGATCGAGGAGGAGGAGGAGGAGGAGGATCGAGGAGGAGGAGGAGGAGCGAGGAGGAGGAGGAGGATGGTCGCGAGATGTCTCAGCCCGTGGGACCGCGAACAAAAGAACGGCTCGGGGGGAAGAGCCAGCCCCAGCTTCTCTCAAGACCCGTTTCGTTCGTCAAAGTGCAGCTCCTTTTCTCGCGCTCCCTCTGGTGACGCACGAGCAAGACGCACCCATACCCACAGGGGGGAAGGAAAGGGCTACGGGTGCGTGTTGTCGGATAGGGGTACCCGCTCGAACAGGAGCCTCCCCCGAGGTCCGACAAACCGGGCCCATAGCCACAGCCAGTTCTCCCCCCTCCGATCCAGGTATGAGTGTGTGTGCGTATGTGTCGTACTTTCGTCAACTCGTGATCTCTGTATCGGTCTCTCTCTCTCTCTCTCTCTCCTCTCTCTCTCTCTCTCCCTCCTCTCTCTGTCTCTGTCTCTTTTCGTTGGTCTCCCCTTTCTTCTCGTTATGCCGCCCTTGGCGCGCGCGGAGGGGGGTGGAAAGCCCACGGGTGCCGTGGAGTTTCCTCCGAGGGGGCGTTGCCGGCGCCCTGGACGTCTTCCAGCTGGACCGTAGGGGCTGAGCAGTGTGTTTCGAGTATCGAGGGCTTTTCCTCCTCCTCTTTCTCCTCCTCCTCTTCCTCGAACTTCGAGCTTTCCATAGCCATGTTGGCTCAAAACCGCTTGCTGTTGAAGTACTCTACATCACTCAAGAGTGAATCGACAGGTGCCCGTGCGGGTCCGCAGCGCTAGGCTCTGAACCCGCCGCGTAGGCCATGTGGTTCCGCGGATCCGCGACCCCGGCTCCTTCCCGTGCTGCCGCTTGCGCTCTCACCCCGTCCGGGCGCGCGCGGGGTGCGGGCGCCGCGCCGCAGGTGCCATCGTCGTTCGCCCCAGGGGCCGCCCCGCGCGCGCGAAGTAGAAATAGAAAGATTGTAAAGCAGTCGCCGGAGATCTTAGCACGCCTCTGGCCCGTTGGGCCGGCGAATTTTTTCTGGGCCCTGGAACCGCCGGGGGATATGTGTATCTGGGAGGCGACCCAGGGGATCAGAGGAAAGGGGCTTCTCTTCGATTCAGCTACGACTTTGCGCAGTGCCGTTTTGGCCCGCCCCCCGGAACCCACCCCTTGGGACCCACCCCCCAGGGCCCCCCCCACCCCACCTGCTGGGCCCCAAAATTGCCCAGGGGGGATGCGCATCTGAGGGGCGACCCACCCCTGGGGCGAGACCCACCCCCCCAGAACCCCCAGCCACGGGGAAAGGATCAAAGGGATTGGGTTTCCGTTCGGCTCATCTACGATTTTTTCTCAATGTCGTTTTGGCCCCACCCCGCGGGACCCACCCCCCGGGACCCCCCCACCTCCCCGGCATGGAAAGGATCAAAGGGACTGGGCTTCTATTCGGTTCAGTTACGACGCTGCTCAATGTCGCATTGGCTGGCGCGCTTACGTAAGGGGGAGGACCCAGGGAAAAGGAGACGGGGGACGAATGAGACGACGATCGGCGGAGACGACGAGGAGATGACGACGGGGACGACGAGTCTACGACGCGACGCCGACGATGGCGACCAACGAAAGCGCGTTTTCCACAAGCCGACCGGGTTGGCGGATTTGGACGCGCGGGACTTCGAGGGGCAGTCATACTGATGGTGTTTCAGCCAAGACTGGGGCCCAGGGGGTTTTAGTATTCTGGCTGAGACTATCCCAAAGGTTGCCCGACCTCTTTCGTTCGCCGGTAACGGTTACGAGATCCTTCCCACCTGCGTCACAACTCTTGTTGCCATATCTGCGCCAGAGATTAACACACCTACTTAGATGGAAAGGCTGGTCTGGATAGCGCTGTTGAAGTCGAGGGCTGGGCAGAATAACCGCATCTCAGCGGCAATGATCACGAAAGGCTGGTGCTTGTGAGCTTTCAAGTTGCCTTCCCCACCGTCGTCTTGGAAAAAGTGACGAATGTGCTCGCCGCCGTGTGCGCTCATCCGTCGATCGTCGGCTTCCTCCGGGCATTGCACCGCGGCTGTGAGTCAATTCTAAACGTTTCGCGTAAGCCCACTTGCTCCGCCGTCCCGGACACGCCTGTTGCCGCCAGACCGTCGTCGCGCGGCCGCCGACCAAAAAAGTAAGCCCACTTGCCCCTCCAGAAACGATTTCCAGACTCAGACCAGTTTCGATGATCAGGGATGTGGAGGAAAACGCAGCGGAACAACGGGTTCGGTAAGACGTCGTCTGGAGGAGGAGCAACAGGAGGGGGAGTAGGAGGAGTCGGGAGAGGGTGGGAGGGACGAGGCAGGAGGAGGAACAGACGGACATGGAAGAGTGGGGGGGGAGGGTAATGATGGTGATGATGATGAGGAGGATGAGGATAAGGATGGTCATGATAATGATGGAGATGAAGAGGAGAAGGAGGAGGAAATAGAGGAAAAGGAAGAGGAGGAGGACGACGACGAGAACCAGAGTAAACCGAAGACTCTTTAACAATGTTCGACTAAACCCTCCCTCCACGCTCCCTCTTCGTAGGCCCCTACACGGGTTCATTTCCACTGAGGGAGGTGCCTCGTTGGGGAGCAGCCGTTTGAAATGTTTGACGCATGCCGAAACATCATTTTCGGGACTCCAGCGCCACGGATCATCCTGCCTGTTGCGCCTTGACCATATAGAATCGTGCCAGAACGCAGTTCCTGAGAATTCAAAACGCCGCGACTCAACGTAACGGACGCGCCTGCACTATCTTGAATATTTCCCCATCGCAATTTCCGGTATGTTGACCACGGGATCCCGTGCAATTCTTGTAATATGTTTGACGAATGTACGCGGCGTTATGGCGAGAGCCATTGTTTGAAAACGGCCCGCTTTCAATCCGTGAAGCCCTTGCAATGTTTTTGTATGACGAATTCGCGTGTCGTTAAGGCGAGAACCACATTTTGAAGACGACCCGCCCTCAATGTGTGAAGCTCTTGGATTTGTATTAGACGAATGTTGGTGGCGCTAAGGCGAGAGCCACAGTTTGAAAACCGCCCGCCCTCAATCCGCAAAACTCTTGCAACTGTTTAAACCGAATGTGCGCGGTGATAAGGCGATAGTCAAACTTTTAAAACCACTCGCCCTCCATTTGCAAAACTGTTGCCGACTGTTGAGCGTCAGGGTCGTATATGGTGAGGAATTCAGACGCAAAACGCTTGGCCCGCTCTTTCGACCTGCCTAGGGGTTCGACAGGGAGGAGGAGGAGGAGGAGGAGGAGGAGGAGGAGAAAAAGGAGGAGTAGGAGGAGGAGGAGAAAGAGGAGGAGAGGAGGAAGAGGAGGAGGAGTTAGAGGTGGAGGAGGACGAGCAGAAAGGGCCAAACGCCTCTTGGATGCCCCTTGGAGTCTTTTCCGTTTTTTGTTCGGGAGTTCTTTGGGATCTTTTTGTGGCGTTTTGCGAGTATCTTTGCAGTTGCGGGGCCTTTTTGGGCGCCTTGGGGGCATCATGGGAACATCTCGGGTGCATCTTAGGGGCCTCGTGGCCTCCTTGCCGAGGCCATGTTCGGCGATCCAGCTACCCGCCGCCCCCCCCCTCCAGAACCAGGGGAAGGGAGGAATTAGGAGGAGGGGTAAACCCCTCCCCAAAGGGGTTTAGAGGAGGTTGGAAGAAGGAACTCGCTGCATCACTCACGCCCTAAAGAGCTTGTGGGGTTATCACTCTTGGGGGGACAAAGAAGCCAGCAATGAACGTGGAAAGCGGTGTTCGACAAGGGGTTCTCCGTCCATGATTCTCTGCGCATGGCCACCACCAAAACGTGAAGCGGTCCAGCTACGCTCGCGTTCCGAGGTTGCCTTGGCAGCTGTGCCATGTCGAAGACATGTTCAATGGACTACCAGACATCGCACCGCTATTCCCAGGCCATTGGTTTCTTCCTGATTGATTGAGATCAGGCTGAGATCAGGCTGCTGGGACAGGCCATTGGTTTCCTCCTGATTGAGAGGTAATGGACAGCAATCGCATTCTTCACTGGGGGGACCGCGCATGTTTCCGGGGTTGTCGTCTGAGCATCTGGCTATGGAGTTTGCATTCAGTTCGCAGCGCACAGTAGCCGGTAGAAATTCCGGCATTCAGTTTGCAGCGCACGCCAGGTATTGGGGGCATTTTTAGGGGCACGCTGGAAAGGTTGAGTCCCGCGAGTATATTATTCCGAAGTTGTTGGCGGAGAGCACAGAGTCTTCGCAAGATATGTCTTGGTCTCGTGGTCAGCATCCGCCTTTTGCTCCTCACGTGTTTTCTCCGCATTCACCTTTGTGGCGCAGCAGATGTCCCCGCCGGCAAATCTCTCGTAAGCGGTTCGCCATGCAATAGTTTTCCTCCAGGTATTCGATGTGATTCTGGATTGTCCCCGTTTTCTTTGGAGGTCGTGGATTTGGAAAGGCTGTGGTTGGCGGCTCGGCATCGCGCAGAGTATTCGGGTGAAGAGCACGCACGGGTTCAAAGGGAGTATTTGGGGCTTTTCGACGAGGGCGCATTCATCCCAGGACGGGCCGTGGGGAATGGAAAGGGGCGGCATCCATACAAGGGGGTTACACTGTATCCAACCACCGAAGCCCCTGCCCAGATCCCCCCCAAGCCGATCGTCTGAGTCCGTGTTCCACGGGCAACTGGTGACAAAACCTGATCCCACAATCCCTGTCAGGCACCTTCAGGGGGAACCGAGAAAGCGGCTGGGCACTTTCTCGGACCTGGACATTACGAGTTCCACTGCCAGGCTACGTGCAGTGGAGAAGTGCATTTCGATGCACATGCGCCTTTTCCTATGCTACCGATGTGCGGCCAGGGATTCTGCGCTGTTTTTCTGTTGCACATTCCAGAACGAGGGTGTCTACTGGGCTGCGCTGAGTTAGGGGCGGCTGATCCGTTTCGCACGTATTGTAGAAGACAGACTTTCGTGGTCACGTAGTCAATGCTTCCCCTTGCTCTCTAGCGCTCTCCCTGGTCTCTGGCAGCCAGACCTGGGACCCGACCGCTGGTTTTGAAGCGGATTCTTTTGAGCACTGGTACGGGGATTGGTCGAGATTTTTATAGTTGCGTTCACTGAAGCTTCAGTCCCTATTCCTCGCCAGCGAAGGTTGGGGCAAGAACCTACCCTCTGAGTTGCTCCACTCGAGATTCAGAACACTCTCGAGGATGCGCCCAGTACTTTAACGCTGTAGTGACTAAGCCGTTTTCTGCAGCTTGGGACCGCATTTCCACTTGATCATTGCCTGCTGTGTTTCCATGGTGGTGCTACTTACTGGGCTGGGGCGCAGTGAATACCCCCCCGTCCTGCTGGGGGCTGATGGTGGTTCAGTCATACCTCGCTGACATGAGCTTCATTTCGTGTCCTTCTGACGGATAGTAATTGTCGGGCCGTTTGTGGTATATTGTCTGGCGTTGTTGCTTTAATATCCTTGCCTCGCTGCCCCTCTCTGGCCAGCTCGCGCTGCGCTTTCTCATCCGCCGCCCATTGGAAGTGCGGCTCTCCGCCCGCTTTGATCCGCCGCCGCCCGCTTCCTCGACGAGGTGGCCGGCGGCGGCGCGGACCGGACGCTGGGCACGGCGGTGAGCGGCTGCAGCGGCGCCGCCGCCTCGGGCCGCACGGCGGAGGGGGCCCGAGGCCGACCGGCGGAGGGGCCGCGCCCGAGGCCGCCCGCGGTCGGCCGCGGAGGGCCCGAGGCCGCCCGAGGTCGACCGCGGGGGTGCCCGAGGTCGCCCGCGCCGCCGCCCGTCCCACCTGCTTGGATCCGTCGGAGCGTCGCCGGCCACGTGCTGGATCGGGGCTTCCGCGAGGGAGGCGCCCTCAGTGGGGCGGGCGCCTGGGCCGCCAGCGCGGGGGTGTGTCGTCAAGCAGCGACGGAGTGTCTTGGCGTGCCTATAGGCCTACCAGACAATGTTCTAAGAACCTGAATTGCTGTGGTCCGCCAGCGCGGGGGTGTCTCCTCAAGGAGTGGCGGAGTGTCCTGGCGTGCCTATAGGCCTACCAGACACTGGTCTAAAAAAACCGTTGGTGCGTTCCACGAACTGTTCTTCGAACATGTCTGGCTTGCCCTGTCTTGTTTTATCACACCGGAGGTTCTAAGAACACTGGTTTTGTTATTGGGATATCTTTAGGTCCCAAGAGAATCTCGTGGTAGGCCCATAGGAATGCCGGGACGGTCGGCCCCTGCTCAATCTCTGGGGCGGCCCTCTCCCCTTCCACGCCAATACGCAAAGCTCGCGTTGAGGCGCGGGGCGCCGCGCGCGTTCTCTGCCCGCCGCCGGTGCGGCGCGGTCTCGTCGAAGCACGAGGCCGTCGGCCTGAGGGGGGCGTTGCTGGTTGGGGTTCGTTTTGTTTTTGCCGCCCCCCTTCCTCCCTCCTCGCCCCTCCTCCTCCTCCTCCTCCTCCTCCTCCTCCTCCCCCTCCTCCTCGTCAGCCTCCTCTTTTTCCATCCTCAACCCTCTTCCTCCTCCTCCTCCTCCTCCTCCTCCTCCTCCTCCTCCTCGCGCGTGCCCCCCTGCTGGCCGTGTTGCTCCTTCGCTGGCGCTGCGGCGCCCCTCCCCGCTGCGCGCCCCCCCCCTCTGCGCGCGCCCCCCCCCCCCCCCCCCCCCAGCCGCGGCGATTCCCGTGCGTGCTCCATTGCTGCCCGTGCTTCCCTGCTGGTGTTGTTTAGTGCCCCCCCCCCTTCCCCCGCGTGTCCCCGCTGATGCTGGTCCGCTGTGGTCATGCCGCTGCTGATGGTGGTTGGGTGGCCGCGGGCCGTCGGTGGCCTCGCGGAGTGTTGGCGGAGCCGCGCGTTCGCGCGCCAGGGATGCAAACAACCATCAACACAGTACCCTGCAGCCCCTCTTGCTTCTCATGCGGTCCTGCTCTCTTGCGGTTTGCCCTCTCTCCGTGTGGGCGCGTTCCCCGCTTGTCGGCATCGGTTCGTTGGTGTTGGCGCCTGCGCTGACGCAGGACACTGTCGAGTTTCGAGCTGCGGACTTGCCTGTGCGACACTTTCCCCTCTTCCCTCTTCTCCTCCTCCTCCTCCTCCTCCTCCACCTCCTCTTCCTCCTTCTCCTCCTCATCCTCTCCTCCTCTTTCCTCTCCCCGCCGCGTCGGGGCTGCTCCCCCTCCTACGTAACCCGTCATGAGTCACGCATCCATCCCTCATTTTGTTCGCCCTCTTCTCTTCCGCTCCTCGCGCCTCCCCCCTCCCGCCCGCAATCCCCCCCCTTCTCCCCGTTTCCCTTCCTCTCCAGACCCCCTTCCCCGTCATCTTCCCTTCCCTTTCGCCCTCATCTCCTTCTACCCCCCCCACCTTTTCGGCCCGACCCCCACTGTGCCAAGGCCTGGAATGGGCCCTCATACACTTCATGTGGCTGTCGAAGCGCGTCCGCCCGACCCGCCGGGGAGCAGGGGGAGGATCCCCAAGGGAGCGGCGACTTTTCTGTTGTCGACTTGCGGGGCTGCAGCCATGTAAGACGGCTATCGTGTTGACGTGCTTCACTCCTGGCCAGGGTGCAGCGAGGCAGAACATCCAGGGGCATTCAGCTACACCTGATTGAATCGTGCAATATCCAGTGCATGTCAAGGAACAGCAGTCGCTACGCTCTCTCCAGGTTGACCAGAGGAGAGGAGGTAGGAGGAGGCCGAGGAGGAGGAGGAGTTGGACAAGGATGACTAGGACAAGGAGGACTTGGACAAGGAGGAGGAGGAGGAGGAGGAGGAGGGGATCGAGGCCGAGGTCGAGGTCGAAGTCCAGGTTGGAGGTCGAGCTCGATGAGGACGTCTCGAGGATTCTGTGATCATCGGATGGCAGGTCGAGATTGAGGAGGGCGTCGAGGCCTTCCAGCCGCCAGCGGGGGACCAGGGCCGGACCCGACCAGCGACCAGCCCCCCAGCGACCGCGAACGGGAGTAGCCTGCGGAGGAGAGCACCACCGGCACCCAGAGCCCCCTCGCCTCGAGGGCGCGTGACCAGCGGCGGCCGGCGCCTCAGCTGCAAGGCTGGCGTCGTGCCCGCGATGTGCGCGTCTTCGACCTCGGTCTGCCACGAGGAGCAGGTCGTGGGAGCGGCAGCCCGTGAGCAGCAGCGGCCTTCTGTCGGTGCTAGGACGAGGATCGATCTGAGACGGCTGCGGCGCCCGAGACATCTGCCAGAGCCGCGGGATCTCAGAGATGCTCGATTTACCTTCACCCAGATGGATCCCCGTCCTGGCGTCGTCTGAGAGGAGCAGCAGCCGGCGTCCGCGAAGAGGGCACGGGCACCCATCACCGGGAGAGGCCTCTTTTAAGGCATGTCGACCTGGGCTTCCCCTACGGCCTCCTGGGCCGCCCCTAAGGCCTCCCCTAAGGCCTCCCCTAAGGCCTCCCCTAAGGCCTCCTGGGCCGCCGCCGGTTCTTACTGCCGCCTCCTGTGCGTGCGCCCGCTGTCGGGCGTCGCGTCGTGATTGACGGCGGGGCAATGTGAGTGGGCACTGCCCCTGGGGGGCGGAAGAACTTTTAAACCTCTTCGGCATTGTTATTCTCGACCTGTTGACCTCCCTCTCCTCCTCCTCCTCCTCCTCCTCCTCCTCCCCCTCCTCCTCCTCCTCCTCCTCCTCCTCCTCCTCCTCCTCCTCCTGCCTCTCCTGCCCCTCCTCCTCCTGCCTCTCCTCCTCCTCCTCCTCCTCCTCCTGCTCCTCTTCCTCCTCCATGTTTCTGGACTCTCCTCGTCTCCGTCCTGCATGCACCTCTCTCTCCTCCCAAGACTTCCCTCCCTGGTCCTTCCCCTCCTCCTCGGCCTTCTCCCCCCCTGGGCCCGACCCCGCTCAAAGCTCGCCCGGCCCGCGAGGCCCAGAGAGAACGGCAACACGGAGGAGTTCAGCATGGAGGTCGCCAGCGTGTGGAGCAGGCCTCGCCGGCGGCGGCGCCCGCCTCCCGCTGCCGAGGGCAGACTGCTAATCTTGGCATCGCTCGGACGTGTGCACTTTTCCTTCGGCGAGGACCATCGAGAAGCGTCCTTGATCATTTGGGGAAAAAACCACGCGCGAAACCGACAAAAGCACAGGAAATGGACGTCCGAGCGATGGCCAGTAATCAGGTGAAGCCGGGTTTTTCTCGCTGCGTGCACTGCTGTTTGATGGGCCTGTTTTCCACCACCACCACATGAGTTGGAGGGGGAGGTGGTCCTCCTCCTCATCCTCCTCCTCCTCCTCTTCCTCCTCCTCCTCCTCCTCATCCTCCACCTCCTTCTCATGGGGGTGGTGGTGGAATACAGGCCCATCAGCTGTTGACTTGTCATAGGCAAAGGTATCCAAGCGCACGTCAACGCGCCCGACGACGCACGCGAGAAGCCGTTCTTCGGAGGCCGTGGCAATGGCCGAGGAAGAGCCACAGGTCGCCGCCTGGGACCCAGAACCCACCGAAAGCGGCCCGGAACCAACAAGCGGGAGCCCGGGAGCCCGGAACCGGGAACCCGGGAACCCAGCCTGCCACCAGAATCGGCGGGAATTGTTCGCCAAACCTCTCAACTTCCGCTAGTACCCCTTCATTGCAAGCACTGATTCGAAATGGGCTTCCAAGGGCCTTGCATCCTAATCGCGCATTCTTCCTATACGGGTTGACTGTAGGCAAAGGTACCCTAGCATACGTCACGGCACCCGACGACGCACGCGAGAAACCGTTCTTCGGAGGCCGTGGCAATGGCCGAGGAAGAGTAGCCCCAGGTCGCCGCAGGTAAAACCACAAAGGAGGAAGTGCTGTAAGGAAGCCCAGTTGGAGCTGACGGAGAGGTGGTGGCCTGTCACGGTTGCGGTTCCCCACTGCACTTCTGGCGCGATGGCCTTCGCCCCGAGGACCACGGGCGCGGGCAGGCACCATCAGAGAAAGCTTTTCCAACGGGCATGGTGGTATATTTGACCTGCCTGGGTATCATCGTGACCTACAATATATATATATATATATATATATATATATACATATATAGATATCTATATATATATATATACACATATATAATTAGGAGGGTGTCCCAGGGGCCCCGGAGTGCGCTGATTTCTCTTCCGGCCGTTTTGGACCCGGCGGGGGTGCCAGAACGCGTCAAATGAGGGGAAGGGCTGGGGAAGGCGGGCGACGAGAGGGCCCGAGAGACGTCCAAGAGGGCGCGCAAGATGACCCAAGAAAGCTCCAAGAGAGCCCAATACCTTGCCAAGACCGCACAATAGCGTTTCTAAATTTGTCCAGCATGGCTTGAAGACAGCCCAAGAGGGCTTCAAGACGGCCAGGATGTCCTCAAAAGGACTCCCTCGAGACACTCCGGAGGCGAAACAAGTAGGTCTGGTCGATGGTTTTTGAAGATTTTTCGTGTTCTCGCTGTTTCGTGCTTCCGATGGTCCAAGACAGCACACGAGGCACCAGAAATCAGCTCAAGACGGCCCAAGAGACCAAAGAGGGCGCCAGGACGGCGCAAGAGTCCCCAGACGGCCCAAGAGTGCCCCAAGACGGCCTTAGAGGCGCCCACGATCGCCCAAGAGGGCCCCAAGACGGCCCCAAGAGGGTCTCCCAACAGAGCTCGAAGAGACCAAAAAACATGTTCGTTCCACAGGTTTTGAACAATTTTTGCGTTTCCGCCTGTTCCGCTTCCCGACGCTGCAAAACGCCCCAAGAGGCTCCGAGGATCGCCGCAAGACGGCCCAACAGGCTTCAAGAGCGCCCGAACACGGCCCAGTAGGCTTCAAAAGCGCCGACGAGACGTCCAAGACGGCCCGAGAGGGCGGCCCAGGATCGGGAACGTGAACCGAGAATCTGAGATCTTCGACCCAGGAGACCCCCAGGAGGCTTCAAGAGGTCCCCAAGAAGCTCCAAAGAGGCCCAAAAGAACTTCGAGAGACGTCCCGAGGGAATTTGAGAAAAACGGGGATTCCAACACTTGTTTGAAATTCGCTTGGCAGTTTCGCTACGCTTGCAAAACAAATCGGAGGTTGGGGGGTGAGATCGCAGTGGAACGGAGACCCCCAACCAGGAAATCGCTTCGTTTCGTTCGTGTCGTGCGAGCGGGCGAGGCGAAGCTGCGTGGGCGCGCGAGAGGAATGAACCCGCCGTTGCTAGGGCGAAGTCAAGACAAATGATTATCCTCCGTCCGTCTGTCCGTCTGGCGGTGGCTCGCGGTGTCCCGCGGTGTCCCGTGGTGTCCCGTTTTGTCCCGTGGTGTCCGCCGTTGCTAGGGCGAAGTCAAGACAAATGATTCTCCCCCGTCGTCCGTCCGTCCGGCGGTGGCTCGCGGTGTCCCGCGATGTCCCGTGGTGTCCCGTGGTGTCCCGTTGTGTCCGCCGCTGCTAGGGCGAAGTCAAGACAAATGATTATCCCCCCCCCGCTCGCCCGTCCATCCGTCCGTCCGGCGGTGTCCCGTGGTGGCCCGTGGTGGCCCGTGGTGGCCCAACAAGTGAGATCGATAGTGAGATCGATAGTGAGATCGACAGGTGTCCCGTGGGGTCCCGTTGAGTGAGATCGGTAATGAGATCGATAGTGAGCCCTAAGGTGCCCCGAGGTGTCCCGTACTGAGATCGATGTGGTGGCCCAAGGTGTCCCGTGGCGTTCCGTGGTTTCCCCAAAAATGAGATCGATAGTGAGATCGGTAGTGAGATCGACAGGTGTCCCGTGGTGTCCCGTGGTGTCCCGTTGAGTGAGATCGATAGTGAGATCGATTCTGCGATCGATGTGGTGTCCCGTGGTGTCCCGTGGTGTCTTATGGTGTCCCGTTGAGGGAGATCGATCATGAGATCGATAGTGAGATCGATAGTGAGCTCGAGAGGTGTCCCGCAGTGTCCTGTGGTGTCCCGTGGTGGCCCGTGGTGTCCCGTGGACATCCGTTGAGTGAGATCGATGGTGAGATCGATAGTGAGATCGACAAGTGTCCCGTGGTGTCCCGTGGTGTCCCGTTGAGTTAGATCGATAGTGAGATCTATTGAGTTAGATGTTGGTTCCCCCCCTCTCCCCCCGTCCACAACCTTCTTCTCACCCGAAGGGTGGTCGTATAGGTAAATATAATGTTGCCTTCCTTCTCCTCTTCCTCCTCCTATTCCTCCTCTGTGCGGCTCTCTTCACCCTCTCCAAATCCCCATCATCCTCCTTCTCCTTCTCCCCCAGGGAGTCCGTTCACCTCCCCTTCTCCCTCTTCATCGGGCTACGTCCAGCCGCGTCGAGTAGAAGGGCCCCCGAAGTGCCATTTGGGCCTGTCTCAAGCCGTCGTGGGTGACGGTGGACCGTAGGAAGTCTTGGAAACCACTTTGGCCGTCTTCGTGGTTGAAGCCTCGGAGAAGACGTGCAATGGAATATAGAGATTCCTAAAGAGTGTGACCGTCCAGCCCCGCTAGAACTTGAGCGCGCGCGAAGCGCGCGCAATTGTTATAGTGTATATATAGATGTTTAGATTTGCGGAAGTTATAGAGCATTGGACACATATATGTGCTCATCTATATATATATACACATTTAGATACTTATTTGTATATATATATATATATGTGTATGTGTGTGCATGCTTGATTCCGTAGGTGTGGAGCAGCATCGCTACCGCCAGTGTGCATGCTTGATTGCGTAGTTGTACGGCTGGCTCGTGGGAGCACGACCTCAGCTCTCTGACGCAGACGAAGTGGAAGCCCTACTTCCGCCAGGACCAACGTTTGAAGACGAAGGACGATGGCGTCGACGGCCCAGCCCCGACAGCAGCATTGCCACGCCAGCCCGACGACAGGCCAGATCCGACCGCTGCATCGTCGAACCATGCAGTCTTCGGACCTGCGCCACACCTGGGTCCTGATGTTGTCATTACTCAAGCACGTGGAATTGAGCTGCCAGCCCACCATCCATGGGATGGTATTCCACGCGTGCATTACCTACCACGCATGGCCAGTGACCGCTTGATTGGGCCCCGACGTCAAGGCATCTGAACAGCCCGCACGGCGCCCTCATTTCTGGCGGAGCCGCATCTTTGTCATATCGAAAATGCAGTCCAGAGCCATGCGCGAGGAACGTCACTTGCGCATGATGAGCCTCCTCAGAGACGGCGAGACGCCCGACCAGCCAGAATTCCACGACAGCCGGGCAGGTTTAGGAGGCGAGGAGGACCGCGAAGCGAATGGGACGTGAGGCCCAAGGAGACGAGGAGGACCTCGAAGCGCATGGGACGTGGGGCCCCACAGCAGATGGTCCTCTCCGACTACGAGAAGATCCTGACATAGAACGCACCAGCATGTTGGCATGGTATCATCTTCATTCAGGGGATCCCGACGAGAAGTCAGCAGGTGAGACGTCGTCACATTGGTGGAACGGACCGCCAATGGGATTGCGCATCCCTGGACGCGCTGGATACTCACGTTTCGCACAAGGTGGCGTTGAACACCGCAGAGACGAAGCGGGGTTCCATCCGTTCGCCAATTGCCACGAAGCATTCCTGATCATGGACCTGATCTACATCTTCGCAGAGAACATCGGCCGAGCATCACCAGCATACTTGTCATCGCGACCCTGTGCTCTCTACGCCGAGGACGAAACCAGCCCGTCACGACGACGCCCTCGACAGTACATGAATTCCCGTGCTTCGAACCTTTTGGCGTGACCCCGTCTGCGGAAGGGGAACCCTCAGGGGGCTCTTTAACCACAACCCTGTACCAGAGGAATGCCTACCTCCAGGAGCCCGTTTCTTTACTCGCGGCGATAGCGGGCCTTACGCGGGGGGGGCGGGAGGGAGACATAACGTACCGCCCCTCACCCCACCCGCAGTGTGGTTCCCGCATCACCCCAGCGTCCGCGCGCACGACGACGGACCAGCGACGAGCGACGATCGCCGACGACGACGACGACGACAACGACGACAACGACGGCGACGACGCGGACAACAACGACGACGACGACGACGCTGACCGATGACGACCACCGACGACGACGACGACGACGACGGCAACGCCGACGACGACGACCGACGCCGCTGGAGTTCTCCTGAGGTCTCCGGAGGTCCCTGGAGGTCTCCTGAGGCCTCTGGAAGCTTCCAGAGGTCTTTGGAGGTTTCCCGAGGACTCTCGAGTCCTCTGGAGATCTCCCGAGGCCTCCCGAGGCCTGGAGCCTCTGGAGGCCTCCAGAGGCCATCGAGAGCCTCCGAAGGCTTCTGGAGGCCTCCAGAGGCCCTCGAAGGCTCTCGACCGCGTTCAACGACGACGAGAGACGGCGAGCGACGACGAGCAACAACAACGACGACGACTTCGACGACGACGACGTTGACGACGACAACGACGACGAGCGACGAAGACGACGACGACGAAGAGAGACGATTACAAGAGACGAATTGTGGCGAGCACATGCCTGCGAAGGCGTCCTTACCTCCACGTTGCGTGTAAGAGGTATGCTCCTTACCGTCCTCCTGATTCGTCGTCGTCGTCCTTCTCCTCCTCCTGCTCCTTCTCTTGCGAACACCACAAGTGCCTGATAGCACTGCAACTTGCTGGCGACCACCGCGGATCCTTATGGGGATCCTTTGAGGGATCCTTATGCGGATCCCTATGCGGATCCCTGTGGGCATGCCCGTGCGGATACCTACGCGGATTCTTATTGAGATCCCCATGCGGATTTTTACACGGTTTCCTAAGGAGATCCTTGTGCGGATACGTATGTGGATCTCCATGCGAATCGACATGCGGATCCGTATGCGGATATCGTTGATCGGATCCCTATGCAGATTCCTATGCGGATCTATATACGGACACCTGTGCGGATCCGCATGCAGATTCCTATGGGAATCCCAATGCGGATCTACATGCAGGTCCCGTTGCGGATCCCGATGGATATCCCTATGCGATCCCTTTGAGGATGGATCCGTATGCGGATGACTATGCGGATGATTATGCGGATCCCTTTTCGGCTCCCTATGCCGATCCCTATGCGCATGGTGGCAGTGCTGGGGGTGCTTTGGGGGGGAGGGGAGCGTGACGTTGGGGGGGTGGGGCTGAGGGCCATGACGCGCGTTATGGCCCAGGCAACAAAGAAACACGCTCCAGCAGAAGAGACGCACGATAATGCACAAGAGGCAATGAAGAAACATGCTCCAAGGTACTTGCGCATTCAGTCGGACCTTTCCTGGATGGATGTGTGATAGTTGCTGCTTCTATGTCTATGGCTCATCATTCGAATGCCCCAGTGTTCATTCCAAGCACACGTGAATGGCTTCAATGGCCGCCTCGTTACAGTATGCATTCCAGGCACCAGCAGTGCCGGTGAGGCACCTAGGCATGAAACAGCATTTTTCTGCGTGAGGGAGGTCGAGAGAGAGGCACCACACGACGCACTGGCACCGGCCAGAGCATTTTCGTGGAGGCCGCGGCGGCCCGGGACCAGCGCGGCCTCCAGGGCAAGGTGTCGGCTGCACACGTACCCCACATGGTTTCCACCACATGTCTGGCATTATCGGTTACTTGCCACAGTGCTCACCACATGGATGGCTTATACCACAGTGACTGCCCGATGAATGATACACCTCTTCTCGAATCGTTTCTATCTCCATTTCTCTAGATATAGATAGACGATGTTGCATCGCGCAGCCTGCACACAATACGTTGCACGAGGTTGTTTGCACCATATTTACTGTTCCACAGAGTTTGCACGTTTACAGTGCAGCTGCTTCTTGGTTTGAAAACAAAACTCTGACCGATTGTATCATCAACCTGTTTACGGGTCCAGTGACTATGTACAGATTCGTTATGCGGACGCCCAAAGGAGGGGAAGGTGGAGGAGAAGGAGGAGGAGGAGGAGGAAGAAGAACCAAGGATTTAAAATGCCCCAGAGAAAAAAACTCCCTTCCTCCGTGCGCGCAGGGTGCTACAATTCCAGTTCGCCGATGACCAGTTTGAGGGGCACTTGTCCAGCCAGCTCGGGGACGACGCGGACAGTGACGAAGGCCTGGTCGCGCCCCCTGAGTTGCCATCAGTTACCGAGGCAACCGCCCACGAGCGCCACGAAAACGCGCTGGCGGGCAGCCCCAAAGAGGCGAATTGCCCCCAGGTGCTGGGTCTCAGCGCGCAATTGTGAACACCTCTGTGACATGCAGGGGTGCGAGGAGATGCCTGGGCCGAGGAGGAGGAGGCGGTGGAGGAGGAGGAGAACAACCAGGATGAGGAGGAGGAGGAGGAGGAGGAGGAGGATGGTACTCAACATCACAAACGTGGAGGCAAGTTTTTAAGCCGTTTTTGGGCGTCGGGGGCCCTTGCCAGGCCTCGGGACTGTCAAACAACGATTCGGGACGAAATACTGGTCTTGGGGACGTGGTCCAGACCTCCAAAGCCCTCGCATCGAAAAAATTGGAGCGGCCAGATGTCTGGATCGTTATCGTCGTCGCCCTCCGGTTCGGCCTTGCGCTCATGCCAATACGAATACGCCAACACTTCAGCGTCTCACTCGCCCGTCCCGATGTTCCTTTTTTGCGTGGTTGCCAACACAGGCAGGCATCATTTGTTAGTGTCCCGCCCACCCGATACGACCCTTCCGCATTGCGCGCGTGCAGACACGCACACGCATCACATTTTCGTGTCGCCGCCCGCGCGACCCGAACGAACCTAGAGGGTAGGCCTCTTCCTAAGCCTGCCCCTAGGGCCTTCCCCTAGGCCGTTCCTGGGCCTACACGTAGGGCCTACCTTTAGGTTTACATGGGCCTACCTCTATGGCCTACCCCTAGGCCTACCGTAGGCCTACCCCTAGAGCCTACCCCGAGGCCAGCCCTGGATCTACCCCTGGGTCTTACCCCGAGGCCTACCCTTGGCCTACCGAGGCCTACCCCTGAGCCCTACTGCTAGGCCTACCCTATGCCTACCCCTATGGTTTACCCCTAGGTCTACAGGAGGCCTACCCCCAGGACCCTAGGGTAGGGTTCCCCTACGCTGCCCTGGGGCCAGCGGTAAGGCCTCGGGTAGCCTAACCCCTCCGGCGTCTACAACCTCAGGGTCTTTAAAGTTGCTGGTGATCCCCCCAAAAGTTTTCGGTTGGCAATGCAATACGTCGTTCCCATCATCTTCCTCCCACGCAATACGGGTGTCCTGCTCAGCCTGTGTGGACGAGGATCACGAAGAGGACGAGGAGGTCGATGGGGAGGAGGAGGAGGAGGACCAGTGCAAACCCAAGACGCATCAACGATGTGTTGGAGAACGCTCGTTTACAAAAACAGCTGGAACTGTGCCAGAGCACCATTCCTGGGACTTACAATCCACGACTCACCCTGACAGGCCGACATCATGCCAAATCCCCACTGTTTGGGACGTTCACCATGTGAGTCCTTCAAACTGTGGTAAATTCTTCACGCGGATGTGCGCGGCGCGAAGGCGAGAGCAACATTTTGAAAGCATATTGCCCTCCAACCGTGAAGTTTTTGCACTTTTCAGACGAATGCGTGCGGCGTTGAGGCGAGAGCCACATGTTGGAAACGACCCGTTCGAATCCGCGAAATCCTTACATCTTTGCCCAGACGAATGTGCGCGACGCCAAGGCGAGAGCCACATTTTGAGCACGACGTGTCCTCCATCCGCGAAGCCCTGTTAAATGTTCAAGACGAGCGTGCGTGGCGCTCAGGCGAGAGTCACATGTTGAAGCATATCCGCCCTTCACCTGTGAAGCTGATGCAAACTGCAAGCTTCAGGATCATATGTGGTGAGGAAGTGTCATGCGACATGCACAGCCCGCCCTTTCGACGTCCTCGGGGTGCGACAGGGAGGAGTTCTTCATAAGGATCAGAACTGGAGGAAGGAGATGGGGATGCGGAGGAGGAGGAGGATAAGGAGGAGATGACGACGGCGGCGACGACGACGGCTGAGGCCTGAGCGGTGGTCGCCGAAGGGGAGTAGTTCTGTTCCAAGTACTGTTGGGGGTCCCGATCCGTCAGTGGGCCTGCGCAGCAAAGTATTTGTACCTCTGAGGTTACCCCCTTTCCCTTTCCTCCCCTCTCTCCCCGGACCCTCGACGGTCCTGAGTTCTTCAGTCCGCGCAAGCACGACAGCTCTCGACCACAACATCTCGTGAGGAATTTGCGCCGTGGGTTCTATTCTGCTGGTCCTGAGACCTCCGAGAGGGCCCCCCCCCCGAGGCCCAGGGCGAGCGCTGGCCGTCGTGAGGTGTTTAACATGCCGCAGGAGTCTTCAGAACCCTGACATTCCATGATGGCAGAAGAGGTTTCGGGACACTTAGACATGAGCACACACGCGTATAATATAAACAACACTCCCCCCCCAGAGCGTCCCACACATCTGGAACATCTAGGGGTCATTCCCGGTATGCCCCCGGGCCTCCCAGGGAGGCCCCAAAACGCCCCAGGACGGCCCAAGACGCCCCCCAAAGAGCCAACAAAACGCAAAACACGAGCCCAAGACGCTGCCCCAACAAAGCCTTCCGACGGCTTTCAAGGCTCCCAGGATCGCCGAAGAGTCAACCAGAAGGTCTCAAGGAGGCCCCAACAGACCTCCGAGTGGCGTCCCGAGGGGGCCCGAGGGGGCTCAACATCGTTGATTTGCATTGGTTCTCTTCATCGTTGTTGACCTTCTCGCGTTTTCGAGCTTCCAACACACCAAAACAGCCGATGAGGCTTCAAGACCGCCCAATGGCCGGCGGAAGAGGCCCCCTTAGAGAGCGCAAGACGGCCCCAGAGAGCCTCAAGACTGCCCAAGAGGCGCCCAAGACTCGGGGGTGGACAGACCTCCTACCCTGACACGTCGATTCAGGAATTGGCTGTTTTCGGTTCGCGAGAGGGCGTCGCGGCCGTCATTTTTGCGGGTCCAGGTCCGTCGGTTTCGGTCCCGAGCCGTTTTCATTCAAGAGTGGTTTATTAAAGGGAGGTTTGTCCACCGCCGAAAGAGGCGCCCAAGACGGGCCAAGAGCACCCGAGGACCACTCAAAATATGCCCGAGGGCAGGAGCAGGAGGCCCCAAAGGGGCCTTGAGAAATGTTCAAGACCCAACCGAGGCCCCCAACAAGCCCCCTATTCTTGAGAGGCCAATCAACCCACGAGGCTCCAAAAACAGCCCAAGAGAGCTCCGAGAGCCGTCCCGAGAGGGCCCGGAGAGGCCACAATCGATGAATTTTAAAGTTTGTTTTCTGAGGTTGTTGCCTTTCGCGTTTTCGAGCTTGATAGCCGAAGAGGCCCCCAAGAAAGATCACCCCAAGACGGCTGAAGAGGCCCCCAAGAGAGCCCAAGACGGCCCCGGAGAGCCTCAAGATTGCCCAAGAGGCGCCCAAGACGGCCCAAGAGGGCTCCAGGATAGGCCCAAGATGGGCCCGAGAGCGGGAGCAGAAGGCCTCAAGAGGCCCCCGAGAGGCCTCCAGGATCCCCCAGAGGCCCCCAAGACTCTCCCCGGACCCTAAGGTAGCCCCCCAAAGAGGCCCCTCGAGGCCCCAAAAGCAGCCCTGGAGAGGCTTCAAAACTGCCTCCCAGGAGCACCCTGCAGGCCTCTTAGGCCCCCTCGATTCCTCCGCACTACATGGTAGCAGGGTCGAATCGAACAAATTATCCCGGCAAAGCAACCTAACAGCGATGTGTAGGAGCATATTTGGAAGCATTATCCTTAAGATTCAGATGATAATCCAGTTGTAGAATTCTGCTGTTCTCGCAATCGTAGTCGCATTCGCGATGACAGTCGCAGTGGCAAAGGCAGTCGCAGTCACAACCTCAGCCTCAGCCTGCCTCAGCCTCAGCCTCAGCCTGCCTCAGCATCAGCCTGCCTCAGCCTCAGCCTCAGCCTGCTTCAGCCTCAGCATCAGTCTGCCTTCAGCCTCGGCCTCAGCCTCAGCCTGCCTCAGCCTCACCCTGCATCAGCCTCAGCCTGAGCCTCAGCCTGCCTCAGCATCAGCCTGCCTCAGCCTCAGCCTCAGCCTGCCTCTGCCTCAGCCTCAGCCTGCTTCAGCCTCAGCCTCAGTCTGCCGTCGGCCTCAGCCAGCCCTCAGCCTCAGCCTCAGCCTCAGCCTCAGCCTGCCTCAGCATCAGCCTGCCTCAGCCTCAGCCTCAGCCTCAGCCTCAGCCTCAGCCTCAGCCTGCTTCAGCCTCAGCCTCAGCCTGCAGCCTCAGCCTCAGTCAGCCTGCAGCTTCGGCCTCAGCCTCAGCCTGCCTCAGCATCAGCCTGCCTCAGCCTCAGCCTCAGCCTCAGCCTGCTTCAGCCTCAGCCTCAGCCTGCTTCAGCCTCAGCCTCAGTCTGCCTCAGCCTCAGCCTGCCTCAGCCTCAGCCTCAGTCTGCGTTCAGCCTCGGCCTCAGCCTCAGCCTGCCTCAGCCTCAGCCTGCCTCAGCCTCAGCCTCAGCCTCAGCCTGTCTCAGCATCAGCCTGCCTCAGCCTCAGCCTCAGCCTGCCTCAGCCTCAGCCTCAGCCTGCTTCAGCCTCAGCCTCAGTTTGCCTTCAGCCTCGGCCTCAGCCTCAGCCTGCCTCAGTCAGCCTCAGCCTCAGCCTCAGCCTCAGCCTGCCTCAGCCTCAGCCTTAGCCTGCCTCAGCCTCAGCCTCAGCCTGCTTCAGCCTCAGCCTCAGTTTGCCTTCAGCCTCGGCCTCAGCCTCAGCCTGCCTCAGTCTGCAGCCTCAGCCTCAGCCTCAGCCTCAGCCTGCCTCAGCCTCAGCCTCAGCCTGCCTCAGCCTCAGCCTCAGCCTGCTTCAGCCTCAGCTCAGTCTGCCTTCAGCCTCGGCCTCAGCCTCAGCCTGCCTCAGCCTCAGCCTGCATCAGCCTCAGTCTGCCTCAGCCTGCAGCATCAGCCTGCCTCAGCCTCAGCCTCAGCCTGCCTCAGCCTCAGCCTCAGCCTGCTTCAGCCTCAGCCTCAGTCTGCCTTCAGCCTCGGCCTCAGCCTCAGCCTGCCTCAGCCTCAGCCTGCATCAGCCTCAGCCTCAGCCTCAGCCTGCCTCAGCATCAGCCTGCCTCAGCCTCAGCCTCAGCCTGCCTCAGCCTCAGCCTCAGCCTGCTTCAGCCTCAGCCTCAGTCTGCCTTCAGCCTCGGCCTCAGCCTCAGCCTGCCTCAGCCTCAGCCTGCATCAGCCTCAGCCTCAGCCTCAGCCTCAGCCTGCCTCAGCATCAGCCTGCCTCAGCCTCAGCCTCAGCTTGCCTCAGCCTCAGCCTCAGCCTGCTTCAACCTCAGCCTCAGTCTGCCTTCAGCCTCGGCCTCAGCCTCAGCCTGCCTCAGCCTCAGCCTGCCTCAGCCTCAGCATGAGCCTGCCTCAGCATTCAAAATGTGGCCCGGGAATGGAGTTCTGGGAACTCGAAGAACACGAAGTGGCCTACAGTTTGCTCCGGGCATTCAAAATCATGCCCAGGAATGGAGTTCTGGGAACTCGAAGACCACGAAATGGCCTACAGTTGGCTCCGGGCATTCAAAATCATACCCAGAAATGGAAATCTGGGAACTCGAAGAACACGAAGTGGCCTACAGTTGGCTCCGGGCATTCAAAATCATGCCCAGGAATGGAGTTCTGGGAACTCGAAGAACACGAAGTGGCCTACAGTTGGCTCCGGGCAGTCAAAATCATGCCCAGGAGTAGAGTTCTGGGAACTCGAAGACCACGAAGTGCGCAACTGTTGGTTAAAAAAGGAGTCCCCGGTTTTCCCCGGCATCCCCCGGATCCTGCCCAGACCCCCCTGGGGAATCAGGATGCTCTCTTTTGACCCCACTAGAAACCTATCAGTCTTCGCTGTTAGGTAAAAAGGGAATTCCAGCGATGTTTAAAACATGTCACGCCGAGCCCCATCAAGACTTCGGGGTCACATTTCAAAGATTTTGTCTGGGAATTCGGTTGATCTCTGTGACGCTTTCCTGGAACTCTTGGGTCGTATTCGTGTCGTTGTGGCTGTCCTGGAAGAAGGCGTCAAACATCGAGATCCCATGAGTTCACCTATCAAGCCTAGCTAAAACTTCAGTGCGCGCGCGCCAGGAGGAAACAAAAAGAGAGGACCTCCCCAAGCCTTTCGAGCGTTTTACCTCAAGATGGCCCCAAGGTTCTTCCAAAGGCTCTCGAGGCGCCCTCCAGATGCCTTCAGAGAGACTCCCGGGAGGCTCCAAGGCACCAAAAGCCTTCCAAGAGGCCCCGACAGACCCCCAAGACGCCACTGGCATGCATCTAGGAGACTTTCCACCCACAGCCCAGGCCTGGCAATTTGAAGAAAGGAATGTCCACAATTCCTTTTTGTTGAAACTCGCCCCGCCCCCCCTCGATCTACTCTCGCAGACCCCCGGAAGCTTTGCTGAAGGAAATACATGGTTTCTGAGTTTCCATAGATTCCCTATCTATACTCAAGTCGGGCCTGTCCCTCTACAGAAGGGAATGTTCAAAGATAGTCAAACAATAGCCTGAGGACGATGTTTATGCAATGTTTTATTATGTTTGGATTTTTTCTTGGTATGTTTCATTTTTCGCCCCAAGTCCCCCTTGTAGGGGGACAAGCCCGACCTGATTCTATACACCTCCGAGGCTTGCGCAGGGCAGCTCCTCCAACACAGTCCCTCGATGCAAGGAGCGCCGCCCAGGTGGCACCGAGGGCGTCCTTTCAGGCCCCGAACATTCATCCAAGACGCCGCCAAGAAGGCCCCGGGAGGCATCCGAGCAGAACATGGCATGCATCCAGGAGACGTCTGACCCACAGGCCAGGCACGGCACATGGAAACCAACACATGGGTGTCCCACGATTATGTTTGTATTCTCCAAGTTCGCCCATTGTGCACACTTGCACAAGAAACCACAATTAAGCCCGCCGTCACCACCCAAGAACTATTCCAGGAAGCCGTTGAGGGTCCCAACTCGTCGAGCACCTAAGGGGAAATGCATGGCTTCTGCGCTTCCGCACTTTCGCTCCTATACGTTTCGTGCAGGGCCTCCGAGAAAGTCCTTGGACGATGCAAGGAACGCCAAAGATGAGACTTCATGCGGTAGCCTGCACAGCGTAGCTAGAACTTGGGCTCGCTCGAAGCGCGCGCGATGGCTCTAGCACATATTTCATATATATATATATATATATACACATATGTGTGTATATGTATATGTGTATATGTATATATTTATATGTATAATTAGGTGTATATGTACATGTATATATGTGCACATGCATGTCTGTATATTGTCCACCGCCCCCTTGGGACCTAGGACTTCGGTCCCCCGGACGGTGGACATGCGTAAATTCTGGCCTCGCAGCGGAGACGCCCAGACAGGTGGATCCCCAGTGCGCCAGGAGCGGGGGTCCCATCGCCCGCCCCCCCCCCTCCCCGCTGCGGATCGTGAACCGAACAACAATCAACGGTCGAAAGTTACGATCCACGTGCATCTGCCCATTCTGGGCTCATTATACTCGGCGTTGTGAGCTGGTGCTGGCGAGGGCTGGCAGTCGACCTGAAGTTGTGCACGTCCATTGGGCATTCGTGCCCTACGCCAACCCCCAGAGGCGCGAAGGCAGTCGCGTTGCGCGCATCGCGGCTGGGTCTCCAGAGCGGCGGCGGAACGGCGCGAAGGTAACCGTTCATCGCGCATCGGGGGGCGCCGTGCGCGAAGTTTGGCGACCCAGGCTTCGTCGCAATCCCGGAGGGAGAAGGAGAAGGATGAGGAGGAGGTGGAGGAGGAGGAACAGGAGGAGGACAATGAGGAGGAAAAGGAGGAGGAGGAGGAGGAAAAGGAAGAGGAGGGGGAGGAGGACGGGAGGAGGGAGGAGGAGGAGGAGGAGGAGGAGGAGGAGGAGGAGGAGGAGGAGGAGAGGCTCGGGCACGAGGGTCGCCTCGCGCCGCGCGCGCCGCGCCGCCGCGCTTGCCCCAGGCGACGACCCGTCGCACTCGCAGCACGGGAGGCTGCGGGAGCTGCGGGGCCTGGCCCAGTCTGGGCTTGCCAAGGCGCCCTCGGCGGCGGGCGACGGGTTGAACCGATCTTTGGGAACCTCGGCGGGCGGTGGACATGGGCAGGTTCGGGCTCCCTGGGGCCAACATGCAGAGGAGGCCAGTCCACAAGAAACCTTCCACAAGAACTCCAACCCTAAGACCCCAGGATGTCCATGGTTTTCTTGTGTGGGAATGTCACCATTTCCACAACAGAACAATCGATCACCCAAGAACCGCGGAGGACCCTGGAGGCAAGCAGGGTGTTTCTTGGTATGGGTCTCCATTGCATATCCATTTCCAGCGCCCGCTGGGGTCTTGGGACGTCGGCTCCCCCGGCAGTGGATACGGATCGATGCCCACATTGCAGGGGAGGAGGAGGGCGGAGAAGGAGGAGGAGGAGGAGGAGGAGGAGGAGGAGGAGGAGGAGGAGAGGAGGAGGAAGAGAGGAGGAGAAGGGGGCGGAGCAGGAGGAGGAGGAGGAGGAGGAGGAGGAGGAAGAGGAGGGGGAAGAGGAGGGGGAGGGGGAAGACGAGGAGTGGGAAGACGAGGAGGAGGAGGAGGAGGAGCAGGAGGAGGAGGAGGAGGAGGACGAGGGTGGAGGAGGAGGGGCGCCGCCCCTCGTGCTTGGAGGCGGAGTCCACTGCGATCCGATCGGCACCGTGCAATATTGGTTCCGGCCCGCTCGGGACGGTTGGATCCCGACGTCCCAGCGATACGATGTTGCCCGTTGGCGTTGAGTCGGGCCTGTTTTTCTACAGGAGGACTATTCAAGAATAGTAGAAAATAGTCAGGGGACGATTTTTATATTATTTGGGCTGATTTCTGTTGGTTCTTAATTGGGCTTATTTGGACGAGTTGTTTTTTACTTTGTTTGGTGATTGTTGGACTTCTTTTTTGCCTAGAATGCGCCTGTAGGAGGACATGCCCGACCTAACGCCGGCGTTGCTGTGCATCCTGGCGCGGCCAGTGCGATTCGATTGCGACGCCGCACCGCTGCGGCCGAGCCGACGCACGTTCCGGCCCGGGCTCGGCGTGCCCTGGCCCGGCGGAGACCCGCTTCGGCGCAAGGGCGTTTGCGCTTCGGTCGGCTCGGCTGCGCTGCCATCGGCTGCGTGCGGTCGGCACTTCGGCCCGGTCGGCTGTCGTGTCGGTGCTGCAGCGTTGCGCCCTCGCGTAGACTGCTTCCGGAATATGTTTCCTTTCTGCTCGTTTCGGTTCCGTTGATTCGTTATCGGATTGCTCGGCCGTCGGATGTACCGCCGCCGTGGACGGCCTCGCGTCCGCAGTGCCAGCGTTTTCTGCCTCTGCTGGCAGGGGGGGGGGTCAGACCCCGCCCACCCGCAAAAACCAAGAGGGGGGGGTCCGGACCCCGCGCCCAGGAAGATGATTCGGGAAGGGCCAGAAGCCGCCCCCGGTGGGCACTGACTTGGTGTGATTCGGTTTTCCCGTTCTCTGTCTTCCTTTCTCCCTCTCTCTGTCTATCTGTCTTCCTTTCTCTCTTTCGTTCTCCCTCTCTCCCTCTGTCTTCCTTGCTCTTTCTGTTTCTATCTCTCTGTCCCCCTCTCTCTCTGTCTCCCTTTCTCTCTCTCCCTCTGTCGTTCTCTCTCTCCCTCTCTCTTTCTTCCTTTCAGTTCCTCATCCTCAACGCAAGGAACCCCTTGTACTGGCTCGCCAACGGAATTCAATTGCGGTGGCCTTGCATATATTTTTTGTTGCAGCGGGTTGCACATCGATTCCTTAAGCGGCTGATTCCACATGGATTTCTGATGTTGCGGATTACACGTGCGATTGCCGTTGCGTTTTCGAGGTAGGGACGTCTGCGTCAACAGACGCAGCAAACAGTGAAGCTGGAGGCTGTGCTCTTATGCGTGAGCTGCCACAGTCGGAGCACTGCTTGGGTCATGCCACTCTGGTTGCCCACGGGCCTCTCTTCCGTGACCACTGTTCTTGTGCCACTAGTTGTTGTGGTGTGACCACTATTAGGGTGTGACGACCACACTTGGGGTGTGACCACTCTTGGGGTGTGACCACTCTCGGGGTGTGACTACCATTGGTGTGTGACTACCATTGGGGTGTGACCACTATTGAGGTATGACCACTATTGTGTGACCACTGTAGGGATGTGACCACTACTGCGGTGTGACCGCTATTTAGGTGTGACCCGTATTTCCAGGAACCTCTTCGGCACCCGTCCTTGCTATGATACTTTGAGTTTCTGGGTGGCGGCTGGTTGTTTGCATTGTTTTTATTCGGGGTTCGTGCTCCAAACATTACCGGGCACATCAGTGGGCACCGTCCTCCCCTTACGGTGTTTCCTCGTGGTCCTTTCGTGTGTCCTCCCCCTCGTCCTGTTCACCCTTGCCATCCTTGCGCCGCTCCCGACGCTCTTGCCGACGTTCTTTCTGGGCATGAAGTTGGACGCGCAACGAGGCGCAGTCATCCGACATGCAAGAATTTACATATGTGTATGTGGTCGGAGGTGAGATCGAAGTGACACGGCATCGCCCCCGCCGTGGTCTGCCGCGCCGTGCCCGAGCGGTTGCGAAGCTCCCACCACCCCCACTGGATGCGCTTGGGGGCGCCTGGGCCTTTATCGAACATTGTAGAGTCCAAAGCACGGCGGGCCACCATAAGCGGTTTTCATTCTGATGTGCGGGGGCGCCATCATCGACCCTTTGTGGCCTTTTTACATACACAAATGTTACACTGGATTTCGTGCGACGGTCTTATAAGAAGCCTATCAAACAGAGGATTCTTGTTGTGGCGGCCTTGCAGGGATGATTCCTTTTGTGGCGGCCTTGCACAAGGATTTCCTATGTGGCCGCTGTACAGCAAAAGTTCTTTGTGTGACGGCCTCCAGAAGGATTACATGCAGCTGATGTTTCAAAAGGAAACCAGGGAAGTAATGATCACACAGCACACGAATCTACGAACATTAAATGGTATCATGTTTGTGCTAAATGCTTAACACAATAAACAATCGACACAATTTTCAACCATCGGAGCTCCGAAACGGTGTAGCATATAGCGCTTTCTGCTATCGGGCCTCCGAAACGTTGTAACACAGCAGTTTCTGCCATCGGAGCCCCACACAATGTCAAACATATAGATTTCATCCACTGGAGCTCCGAGCACAGCGTTTGCAGCCATCGGGATTCCGAAAAGCTGAGCTTTGCAGCGTTCTGGAGCTCCGATGACTGAAAACGTTATGTTTTGCAGCGATTGGGAGCTCGAACGGGTGAGAACGTTTCGCTTCGGAGCTCCGATGGCTGAAGACAATGTTTTCACAGCGTTTCGGAGCTCGAATGGTTGCCAATGATGTGTTTTCCAGCGTCTCAGAGCTCCGATGGCTGAAGACGTTGTGTTGTTTGGTTCAAGTGACTGTCAGCCTCCAGCACCAACATCAGGCATAGCATTGCGTTGACGTCAATTGCATTGGATCCCACAAGTTTCATAGATATAACGTATGGATACAACATATAGCTTGGGTTCTTTTCGCAGTACCCACAACATATCACCTTGCTGAAAAAGGTCGCCACACATGCATTCAATGTGTAAGGCCGCCACAGGGAGAACCCCACTGTACAGAACGGGTCTTTTTGGAACCCCCTCAGACAAGAAACTATTTTGGTAGGCCGCCACAGGAGAACTCCGTGCGCAAGGCCGTCGCAAGAGGAAATACTTTGGCAAGGCCGCCACAAACCAACGGTTTTTTTGACGGCTTATACGAAATGGGAGTTTTGTGAGGTCACCACGGAAGGATCTCCTTTTCGTACGGTTGCCGCCGTTTTCTGACAAGGCTTCACACCATGAGGCCCTCTACGACCGCCCGAACTTGACAATCTCGATATAAGGTCGCACCAGAAGGACTCCTTTCGCAAGGCCGCCACAAAGAGACATTATTTTCTTAGGCAGCTGCATGGAAAATCCTGTTGGGCGGCCGTCGCAAAGATAATCTGCTTGTAAGGCCGCCATACAGGGAATCCTGTGTGTAAGACGGCCACCAAGGAACAATCCGTAGTGAGAATGTGGTGCAATTGTGGAACAGGTTCCCTGTTTGGTAGTTTGTGCAGGTGTCGTCGGGTCTGAACAGGAAGGACACCAGCCAAAACCCTTTATCGGGGGACATACTTACGCCCTATGGGGCTTCCGGGGGGAAACTATCAGGAAACCAATGCCCACATCTTCAAGTTGTGTTTCAGGGTTTGGACTTACACGTTCATCAATCATTACGCAGTGCAGTCGCCCTCTGGGGCAATTGATGCATCTACCAAGACGTGGCTGTCTTTGGTGGTTTTGTTTCAGAATGCAGAAAATATTGCTCAGACATTGCACTGCGGTGCGGACGCCCTCTGGGTCTTTGAACTGTTCTTGATCGAACGGCGAGCGTATGTGTATGCTTGTCGTTGTTGCTGCGCGTTGCGCAACACCACGCTCAGAAAACAACGATGCAGACGCCCTCTGGAGCTTTCCGCTGAACCTGACAAGAAGGGACACGCATGTGCACTTTCGAAGGTGTCCAATCGGATGCGGACAACAAGGCTCAGAACGCGCCGCAGTTCAGGCGCCCTGTCGGGCTGTCCGACGAACCGAATGAGAAGGGGAACGTACGAGTATGGTTTTGTTTCTCTTGTTTTTGTCTTAGGATTCGGAACGCAAGGTCAGATACCACACGCCGGTGTAGATGTCATCGGGGTTCTCTGACCAGCATCAACATTCGGCGCAGTGTTTGCGATTTCTTGGTTCTTGCATTTCATGTTCCACTGCATGTAGAAACATGCTAGTTTATCCCAGCGTACGCCAATTAGTGCATCTGTTGATTTGATCGTTTCGCTCATTCCGCCGGCCCGTATTGTGCCATCGCAGGCGTTTGTCTGCGCGTTCGTGGTCTCTTGGGGCTTCTTGGAGCCTCTTTTGGGGCCTCCAAGGGGCCTCGTGGGCAGTCTTTGCGGCCTCTTGGGGACTACTGGGGGCCTCTTGGGGCGGAAGGCTTGAATTGGTGGTTCAAGTTCCCC